AAATCCTAGAATAATATTCTTGTGCACATCTGCATTGAATACAGCCCACCCTCTTTGCATAATTATTTACTTCTTCAAAGATTCCCCCCCACACGCGTCTTGTTCCCGTTATCGCTTATCAATTTCTTTTTTATATTATTGTTCGAACGCGTGGGAAAATCCTCGAAAGAATGACTTCAAAAGAGAAGAGCATCGCACATGTATCTTTCAGATTTCTTCGTAATGAAAGGGTACGAGTTATACGGCGAATATATCTAAAAATTATTAAATGTAGTTTGAAATTATAGGTGCGAGTTATAAGCCGGAGTATACGGTAGTATAAAAAATTGAACATTTTTTAATTTTCAATGACTTTAGCTTGTTTGAATTTTGAGATTACGAATTTTTTAACGTCAGGCACAATGTTTATACACTTGGATTTTATTGCAGAATAATGTGAAAAAGATGTCATAAAATACGTTATCGCAAAAGCAAGTAAAATGAGAGTAGTTCGTTTTGAAAATCTTAATGATAACTTTTCAATTTTTCAGTTTTTTTATTTCAGAATCAATTGAAAAATGAATTATTTTTTTTAAATCAATTGCCCTGATATTTATCTTGGATATCGTGAAAGGCTTTCGAATCTAAGAACTGTCTTCCTGGCAGTCTGGAAAACACTCACCAAGAGTTAACTTCAAGTTATAAAAGTCATAACATTTAATTGTATAACTTGTGACAATTTACACATTGTTCTATCATTTCGAACTTAGTCACGGGCTCGTTCGCTTCAAAGGTTTAGGCAGATTTTGAGAAGGGAGTAATGATTTAAGCAGTTAACTAAAACCGGTAGCTGGTCAGTCGGTCGGTAGCCTGCTTTCGGTAGCATTTTCTTATCTCTATTAAGATTTTTTTTTTTTTTTTAATTAGAGGTATAGGTATATTACGAATGTTTGCTGAAACAAAGGCCCCAAAAGCACTTTCATGCACACAATGCATAGCATGCAAAATGAGTTTTTTTTTTTTTTTTTTTTCTGTTTAGTGGGCTTAAATGAAGAGCTAGCTTTTGGGGAAAAAACTATTGGTTACTTTCCGCATTGATTGAATAATACAGGGTTATCCAAATTAAACTTCCCCAACTCAGAGGCCTGTGCAGTGTTGTATGGGTCATAATGTGATGAAATTTTAAAAACAGACAGTTCAGATCATGCGCTCGAGATTTATTACACACACACACACACACACAAAAAAAAAAAAAAAAAAAAGTACAAAAAGTTGCCGATAGGTGGCGCTGTAACACTAGTAATGTGCATATTGCAACAAGAGGGCTATCTGCCTAATGGGAGGGACGTCTTTTGTGGAGGACTTTCTAAGGGAAACTGGCTCGTATGCACGTTACACATGGGGAAAACCACGAAAACACCCATGCAGCCAGCCCGTTCGCGGGATTCGAACCTCGGACCGAACTACCAGTGTTCAGCGACTTTACCGCTCGGCCGCTATATCAAAAAAAAAAAAAAAAAAAAAAAAAGACGAGCCCTACAAAAAGTGGAAGACAGACCTTGCACAGGCAGTTGTTTCCAGCTCGCTGATGCACAATGGCGACTTTGAAAGACAAAAGTTCTGTTAGTGAAACTTTTCTACCAGAATGACGAGAACTCCTGTGCTGCGATAAGAGCATTCCGTCGGCTGAAGATCTTACGCCGTGGACCAATGACACCACGCGCTCTACGAGACATGATGAAGAAGTTTGAAAGAACGGGCCAGCTGGGAATTTTACCAGGTAGAGGACGACAGGCTGTAGAATTTGCACGCGAAGAAGACATTGCTTTGGTTGCGATTTTTGGTTATGGGGATTCTTAAAGGATCGGGTCTACCAAGAACACCCAGCAACCTTGGCACATCTGAAAGACGCAATTATTCGACATGTTCATGGAATTAATGTGGACTTACTGCGTTCCACTGGGGAACACACTGCTTTGCAAATGGAAAGAGTTGTGGAGAACCACGGCACACATATAGAACATCTGTAGAATGTCTTGTTGATCTGCAGCGCCACCTATCGGCAACTTCTTGTAGTATTTTTTTTAAATAAATCTCAAGCGCATGATCTGAAGTGTCTGTTTGTAAAATTTCATTATATTATAACCCATACAACACTCCGCACAGGCCTCTGAGTTGTGGAAGTTTAATTTGGATAACCCTGTACTTTCGAATGTTCAGCTGCTTGTGATTATAAATGAATTCACCTCACTGCTGAGCTCCAAGAGCAAATAAATAATTGTAATAAACTCCTGATAGAAGAGTGGAAACAATTCGTTCTAAACATTAGTAGCCGCCAGGCGTTTCCCCTCTCCGTCAACTGTCACCCGCCGAGCTCCGATCAGAAAGAAAATTTTAGATTCAGTTTTCTTAATTTTGATTTTCAAAAGCATAAATTAATTGCATTTAGACTATGCATCAGAGGCGTTGTTTTTCTGGTAGCTTAATTTGTACTAGGCTCACGGTGGAGACCAGCACCCGTGCCCGTTCTTTTTTGTTTTCTGTTGTCGCTAAGTCTTCTGCTAGCCTAATCTTGCTGAATAGTGTATTTCGGTTAAGCATGAGGCAATCAAAGTAGATATCAAATTTTTCGAATTTCCATGCGAAAAACGATTTATTTTTTATATCGGTAGCATTTTCATTTGAATGCTAAGAATCTTTATAAAGTGGCGCCTCATTTTACGAGAGCTCTTAAGAATAAACCAATACTCATACATCGTTTTACCGTCGTTTCTATTTATGACATTGTAGAGACGTTAGGATTATTTCGAAGCAGGAGACATATGGTCACTTTACTTAACCTGTTTCACCAAACTAAGTTAATGGCACTACAGGGTTAGGAAGTTATCCTAGTTATTGCTAGCAATCTGACGGTTAGGCCGCCTTTCTACATTTTACATTAATCTGTAGTTTCTTGCATATAATTATTTTCATTCACTTGCTTCATTATCTTTAAGATGCCCTTGTTGCAGTAATAGTCCGTGAACAGTCTATTCACAGGATATGTGATGTAGTCGGAAGGAAAGAACTGCTGTCGAAGGTGCTCTGTCAGAGGGCAGGAGAGCAGGTAATGAAGTACGTCCGCGTCTTCCCCGCGAAAACCGCAAGAACAGTTGACGTCCCGTCTGAGGAATCGTCTGTAATACGCTGGGAATTTCCCGTGGTTGGTACAGGCTTGGACGAAGAGTCGGTTGCATTTGAGCCTCTTGAGAGAAGGTATTGAGAAGATATTGTAAGTAAATATTCCTGTATCTTCTTCCTGCCATCGTGATGACCATGCCTCTTGAAATGTTGTCTTGAGGAGCCTTTTTGCAACTTCTGCGGAAAGCGGAACTTCCTTGTCAATTTCTGCTTTGAGAGCTGCAGTCTTAGCTAGGTCATCCGCTCGTTCGTTGCATTTCTGCCCGGTATGTACTTTTATTCAGTTGATCTTTAAAGGTATGGAAGAGCCTAACGTCAAGAGGATCTCTCTAAGTGCTGCCGTGTGCGGATGTTTTGGAAGAAAGGAATTCAGCGCATTCAGAACGCTCATGCTATCTGTGAAGAATGAAGTGTGAGCTGCTGGTTGGGTACCTAGTGCTGCTTCTTTGAGTGCTAGGACTCGGCTTGGAAGACTGAAGCACGGTTGCTTAGACGGAATTGTGCTTGATAAATTTCTTCATTGTTCGAAAAGACGGTGAACGTTGCCCCTACTCGTCCTTAAATTTTTGAACCGTCAGAGAAAATCTCTCTTTGTTGTCCTGAGGGTGGCGATTTGCAACAGGGAAGGATGGGTAGATCTCTTGTGTGTAAGACAGGGGAATCTTGGAAGCTTTCTATGCTGGCATAGGATAGATGTAAATCTTAAGCAGGAGACATGAAAAATGAGCAAAGCCTTTGCGGGAATCGAACCACGAACCTCTGGAATACTCGCCCAGCGTGCTGATCATTACTCTACGATGGCATGCTAAGAAGGAGGAAGAAAGACCTTATATACCCCCTTTTAAAGGGCGACTGAGGTTTTAAAGGACTCACTCGCCAAATCCTGGGTGTAGAGAATCATCATCCACCACCCTTTTAGTTCGGGCGCCACTGTAGAAACATTAGGATTATTTCGAAGCAGGAGAGATGAAAAATAAGCAATACGCGCCCAGCGTGCTGCCCACTACACTACGAAGGCATGCTAATAAGGCGGGAGAAATACTTTAGAACATTTCTCTGAAATTTAAATTTATAGCAATTAATTCTATCCGGAAGTGGAAACTCATCTAAGATGAAGAATTTTATTTTATACTAGCGGGCAAGCCCGCCAGATGAGTGAGCTGCAACCAAAGCAAAATTGATAAGTTTTGTATACACCTAAAAAGCAAATCTATAAAAACATTTCAATATGAATGAAATCAGTTCATTCTTTCCAGGCAAAAACCAATTCGTAATGTTTTTTTTTTTTTGTTTTGTTTTGTTTTGTTTTATTTTGAAAATCTGCTGGTAATCTCCGAAAAAGGAAAAAATGAATTTTTGATAAATCGTAATTACAATGATGAGAAGTCCGTATGAAAGCAATTCTTTCATAGAATTCTGAATAAAGCAAATAATATGAAGATAACAATTGTGCAATCTTTCAATAAAAACAAAGGTGAAAAAAGTGCTTGGCATCGGCCATCAGTGTAACCACACACATTTAATAGGAACACTGGAAACAAGCGTAACACCTTTGCCATAGATCTTTCCCAGAAGTTAAGCAACCTTGCCAACAAGCTGTCGGGATCATAAAAGAGCGTGAGATTGCAGCTTAACCTCTTCCAAAATGATTAAACAGTTCCTATTTTTTTTACAGATCTTTAATGATAACGATAAGAAACACTTTAAGAAGTGTAAGGAAGAGTTCAAAGGAAAAGGGTAATTTAGCATTCACTGAAGCATGTTGTCGTTGTGGATGGGATTTTTAGTACAAGGTGCGAATGATAGTTGTTACAAATTATCTACATGTTGGTAACAAATGATCAAAACAATGATTGATGTTATCTTCCTAAAACAGTATTTCTTCAGATAATGTTGGGTGGGTTTGATATTTCTCGGAAATAAACATTTGCGTTCATTCCATCGTAAGTGCCATTTCTTTTATTTCTAAGCGAAAGGCAACATGAGTGGCAGCTATATATAGAGAGACATCCGATGATCAAAACAAATTAGTTCAATAAAACCTCGCAGTTGTTGGATATTTCTGACAGCAGGAAAGTTGACTGAAAAGATGATATCTGCAGTGTGTTTGGTAAGTTTCAAAATCATATTTCACATTCTATATCCTTTCTTCAATCAAAGTGTTCTGTTGTGGTGTAGATTGCATTTTGACAATAAATACGTGCTATCAAAACTGATAGTAAAGATAGAATAATAAATGTATAAAATAGAATTCGTATGGTTTTAAAAATTTAAAAACAGAATTCTTTAACAAATGATTTTGAGAAACAATATGAATAGTTGTACACCTATAAAATAATGTTTGTCGAAATAAGTTGGATTTTTAATGCAATTTGGGTACAAGTGAGAAAACATGCAGAAATTCCAATGTGTTCTGAATATACAAATGCCTCGTATTAAAAGCTGATAATTCTGCTATCTATATAATTGCATTTCATTTTGTCCAGTTTATTAATATATATAGAATAAATTAATGTATGCTTATGTTCCAAAATCGATTCGAAATAAATTCAGTTTGTCGTTAAATGTAAATAAAAACTAAATTTAAAAACATTCTAATCACCGGAGAAAATATTCATCATTAATTTATTTCATTCTTAGAATGTATCAAGCTTCGCTGATTTGCATAAGGTCAGAATAATAATTAAACTTGATCGCTAGCAAAGTTTGCTTATCCTTAACCGAAATATTTTAACATCATTTCCTTAATTTTAATTTGTAGTTACTTCCCTCTAATAATAATATTTTTGATAGATGTTTTTAGCGCTAATTCAAGAACAAGAAAAAACGAATACGTCGACAACATTTTGATTTTACAAAGATATATTTAAATACAAATTTTATGCATGAAGAATATACTGAAATATATACGTCTTTTGCAGTAGAATAAAGGCCGGTAACACACTGACATGTACCAAACTCCTTTATTTTTCATAATATTTAAAAAATATAAGCAACTAAAAATATGAATTAGTCGAAAATAAAGGTGGAAAAGAGCTAGTTTAAGACTACAGCCCGCAGCATTTAGCATTTAAAATTTTTTACCTAGTTTTAACTGACAATCTTAAAGTTTCTATTTGTTCAGAATTTTGCTCATAAATTTTCGTTGAAGGACATGTGCTGAACGTTAACGCTCAAGCCGATAATTAGCAAGTGCAACTTCAGTATTTCTTAATAATGTTTGAATTTAAGTTTAATTTTTACTAACCTAAAATTGCAGAACACTCTTCCAAGTGTTGAGCAGTCATAAGCTGAACACAGTCTCTTCACAGTTCGGAAAATCCATTTATTTCAAACAATCATATTTCAGATATTGGAACAGAACGTTCAAAATAATTATTAGTTGGAGAAAGCACTGAAAATTTACTTTGATCCTTTTTTTTCGCCTTGTTGAATACGTTCCACACAGATTAACATTGATATCTATCTAGTTCTCTTACTTATGACAGTCCTATAGCTACTATTTGAAAATTGTCGCAATGTAAGCAATTCTCGAAGAGGTAATTTAAGTTTCGAATGTTAACCTCTATTAAAACCTTTTAACTGTCATGCCCGAGATAATCTCGGGCACAGCAGTGGTGTTCGAAAATGTCACGCCCGAGTATTACTCGGGGTAATTTTTTTTTTTTTTTGAGTGTATCGTATTGTTATACCCGAATATATATCGGGAGACGTTTATTTCGGCTTCATCTCTTTGTCAAACCCGACTGTATATCGGGAAAAGTTAATGTGCGCTCAGTTCAATAGATGACAGCACTTTACTGAAGATTTCAAAGGTTAGAGGATGTTGATTGGATTTTTGCAATAAAAAAAATTGACAATTTGTGTACCCAAATCATCAAAATAACTTGACAGTTAAAGTAACAATCTGGCTATTTCCACTGAAGTGTTTTGAACACTTCTCAGAACGAAGTTTTAGATCGTAGTCATTATGCTGTTTTGAAGCAGGAGATGTGAAAAATGTACAATGCCTTCGGCAGGACTCAAACCTGGACCTCTCGAGTTCGCGCCGATTGTGCTACCGTTACACCACGAAAGCATACTTGGAGGAGGGACGAAATACCCCGTAAGCTTTCGGCTTTCATTCCCTTAGTCTAAGCACAACATTAATAAAACGTGCTTTATAACTATAACATGAAAATCCAAAAAGCGGATATTTTGTCCCAAAGTTTTCAATACGTACTGCTTATTGAATGATGTTATTCACATTAAAAACGTTTTCAGCACAGTCTTTCGAAATTTCTGGAAGAATGCGTTACTTAATGTCACCCTATTCACCCTATGTATCGTTACGTTGCGTTCCAAACTGTATAATCTTTTTGCTTTCACAAAAGCTGTCATTGTGTTGCTGTTCTTGTTGCTTCTCCTCAAAAGCTCTGACATCAGATCAGCTCCAGAAAATTGTTGACCGTCAAAAAATCAATAGCAGTGAGGGGATCTTTAGAAAGTCCGATGCAACCTAGTATGTGATCTGGTGAAGCTGGATGGTCACAGAAGTTTTTACAACCGGGGTGAATTTTTCTGCCCCTATTGAAGACATTTAAGGTGGCCGCTTGTTAGTCTAGTCAGAGCAGTCTGGGAACCATGGTCACATTTGATTTCCAGTGGGGAGCCAGGGGATGTTCCTATGTACCATTCGTGAGTAGGTGGATTTCGCCATATTATATTTAGATCTTTTACTTAAGTAAAATTCTTGGTAAGTAAGTGAGGAGCCAGTCACCGTTTCATTTTCAATACCCTCATTTGCCAGTTTATCAGCGACTTCAATACCACTAATATTAACATGTGTTGGGATCCACTGGAGGTGGACGTAGTGGGCCTGAGAGGTATTCCTCAATATGAGCAGAATAGATATGCTGGTTGCATCGCATGCGGACGACGAGCCACCAAGATGCTATAGTGTACTGCGGCTGTCCGATAAAATACATACTTCCCCAAAATCGCAATCATAAGCCAAGATGGTATCAAGCCCCACATTAATCGCAATTAACTTGTTCCTGAAGACAGTGCAAGTGTGAGGGTTGCGTTGCTATATTGTAGTTTCAAAGTGAGGGGTCTTAATAAAGATACCGCTGCCAGTACGATCTTCTGTACGACTACCATCAATATAGACCTACAATGCATCTTTAGCATCTTTAGGAATGCAACTAATAATTTCCAGAGCCAGTTGACTGCGAAGGTATTGTGTGTACTGTCATTGTGAGAAAAATAAAGGCACGATGCCTCTATGCCTCGCATCTTCCACGATGCCTAGTGCATAGTCAAATTTCACATTGCTGCTATTTAGCAAAACACAGAGATTCAACCTCGCTTTTAATATGATTCAAAAGGGTTTTTTTTCATGGCCATGGGATCACATATAAAGTTGAAGCAAAGTTTAAGTTTTAATTTACTGGCGCCAAATCTTACGCAGTGTACAAATTTTTTATTCTTCGATTTTTAAAAAAACTTTGTGTAATAATAAATTTTATTAAAATTTGAGGATTTTTTTTCCTTTTCTTCTTACAGGTTTATCTTTTCGGCGTTTCACTTTTTGTGAGCGCAACCGAAGCAATCGGCGTCGGTGAAATAGGAGGAGGTGCTCTCGGCGGTCACGGGATCGGTTCTTCTGGTCTGGCTGGTGGTGACCGTGTAGGTTCCGGTTACGGTGGACGTAAAGGTGGAGTCTCTTCCAAGGGCTATGACCGTGGTTTCAGTTACGGAACTGGACACGACACAGGAAAAGCCATTAGCATTGGAGATGAAGAACATGGAGGTAAAGGTTATGGTGACAAAGGACTGGCCGGCTATGGGCTAGGTGGAAAGTTCTATGGTGGCTTAGGATACGGAGGACTCCTTGGACCCATATTCTTCTTCCGATAGAAAATTTATATAGAAGCTAAAGCGTTTTCATCAAATTTTAATTAGTACAAAATATTAAAACTGAAGTACCTGACATGGAAAAAATATATAATATTTGTGAAAGCTTACAAAATGCCATACGGAAGATGCTGGATTATGAATGTATTAATACAAATAAAGTGTTGTTTTAGTTTGTTGTTAATTCTTTTCCTAGATTTGATTTTTGCCTGCGGGTTGTATAAGATATGATGCGCTCTGAAATAAATTAAATGCATAAAGTATTTTAGATGATTTTACATTGTTGCACTTTCAAGTCACTTGGCCTTTTCCCATACAGTCAAGAGTAATTAATTTTATATTTTAATTTTCAATTCAAATACATTCATTACTATTAATAAGTTTTAAATTCCACAGTTTAATCTCAATTTCATAAGGAATAAACTTTTAATAAGTTTTCTAATCTCATAGGTTTTATCCTTCATATCCAAAGGAATAATCTATATTCATAATTATAATTTACATTTATAATCATAGCTGCGTTAGCGCTGGATTTTGACACTGAAAGTCCGATTTTGCATTTTTACTTAACGTATAGAAGATAAAAAAGCATGTAAATCGAAATATTAACTTTAAATTGCAATAGCTTCTAACTATTTCCCTTCAATCTGACTATTTCCCTTTTCTGTTCTAAAAATAGTAATTCCTCATAATAAACCTCTCTAAACTGCATCTTTTCAAAAAATAACAGTGTCATGTGACATCTACGTCATGCTGGTCAATGAAATGGTTTTGTGAACCAAAACTCAAACAGCCAATAATAATGCGTACGGCTTCGTAATGTATTGAATATGCCCAGAACCGATAGTAGTATGACGAAATTTATTTTTAGAAAAGAAGCACTTTACACGTCTTAAAATTGGCACAAATATACAGCTCTTGTCAGTATGAAACAGCACAATCAGCAGTTATCACTTTAAACTATTAGAGCGTTAAACACAAGGCAATGCAAAGAGCATCTAAAGAGCGAAGCTTGCACGAAGATCTCAGTACTCCTACGTCTACTCTGAACTGAAAAACTGAGAATTGATGCTCGCTCAGGTCTTGCCGGATACAGTTCCGATTACATATAGGTATCAATTACAGTACCAATTACAGTTGTGCAGGGACCGCACCAAAATGTTGCCAAATGGTCTTCAAGTTTGGCGACTTTGGGCGATTTCTCGCCTAACCTGGAGACAAAAATTAGTTGCCAAAACGATCGCCAGCTTTTCGATATCTCTCCAATTTAGCGAGACAGTTCTTTACCTCAGTGTTATATAGACTTGCCCCTGTAACTTTATTTTTACGGCAGGGGTTAGCCTTTTCAAGCATTTCATGTAACATTATACAAAAGATCCTTAAATTTAACATATAATTTCAGTAAAATTATTTACATATATACAAAACTCGTAGCAATATTTATATATAACGGAAAAAACCACTGTAAACTGAGTTACATGGTTTCTGAAGAAATGGAAAGGTATTACAGTTTCAGGATATGGCGAAAATCATTTGCAACGATTACTGAATTCACTTACAGTTTTAGATGATGCATGAATTAGAAGACAATTTACAGTCAAATGAACTTCAAAAAAAAGATTAATTTTGGTTTACTTTTTAAAAATTCTTTATGTAAGTTTGTTTAATAAATACTATATTTAATATTTTGATTATAAAGTGAAGATGTAATTCAAGAATGCACTATACGCAGAAATTACTGACAAGAGTTCCGACGCTCTTATAAAATCGCATCCAGTTCTTACGCGTTTTCATTCCAAGATGGTTGCAGTGCTAAAACAGATCGTAAGTAAAGATAATGAAGAATAACAAAACAATAAAAAAAATCTGAAAGCTTTTTCATATTTTTATATTACGCCCGAAGGGGCGTTTTTTTAACGTTTTGTCTGTTGCTTTTATTTATTAAATATTATGTTCTTCGCTCTTAAAATATAAAATTCAGTTCATAGGCAATATAAAATAATATTTAAAAGAGCATATCTTTAGAATTTCCGATACGCAGTCTCGCGCGCTGAAGGTAATTTTTTTTTTCTTTCCGTACAGTGTTGCTGTTGCTCGCTTTGAAATCGTTGAGTTTCTTAATCAAAAACTCATAAATGCTTTACAAAATATGAAAGAGATAATAAACAAATTCGAAATTCCAAGATTAAGCTTCCAGATGCCCATATTCAGGTGAAGACGTACATTATTCAAAATTTGATGGCTCTAGGTGCCGTTGTTATATCACAGTAAGAGAAAAATAAATACATATTCATTATTTAATTTCTTTAAATATAATACATAGCTTTAATATTTGGTGGCAACCATTTAAAAAGTGATTCGCCGTTTATAGTGAATCAACGCAAAATGCCAAAACGAAATGAATAGTCCTTTCTGGGCAAATTGCCTCTTGATCTAAAAATGGCATCTGTCAATAAAAGAGGCAAACGTGCTGATGAGCAGTATGTAAATATGATGTTGTGCAGAAAATTTTAATAAAAAGTCGGCTATCTGTAAAGAGACACAACACTTTAGAGTATTTACAGCATGTCGTAACATAGAAATGCAAAAATTTAAGTGATATATTTAAAAGACTTTTTTAAATTTCAGTTACGTCCAATAGACAACGATGGTGCTATAATTTTTTATACTATAATATCATAATAAACATGTTCTTTTATGGAACCTTGTCTCTATAAATCCATCTCGACGAGAAAACTAAAAGAAGTGCTGTCAAAATTACTGCGCGATGTTCCAATAGTCATCTGACGTTCAGTGAATTAAGGTACCAGTAAATGTAGATTAGAAATGCGTAAATATTAGAAAGCAGTTTATAAGAGACGATGCATTAGCAAAGATTGGTTTAACGCTTATCAGCTACGATGGATAGATATTTCATATCTGGCTCTCTTATTGTGAGAATACTTGTAAAACCTTCTACACCAGATTTCAGTCTCCGAGATAGGTCAGTGATTGTCAGATAGGTCAGTGATTGTCAGATAGGTCAGTGCTGATTGCCCTATCGAAGGCGTCGGGTGCAATTCCGGAGAAGACATGAAAGCTTGTAAGCATATATTGTCTGTTCCGCAAGGAAGCAACCAAAATACACTGCGATCCGAAACCCTCTCGGTATGTTGATGGCACGGGAAGATAGGGGAGACTCCCCCGGGGTATTTTCTCTCGGACTTCCAATGACTCGTCATGGAGTCATTTAACAGTTAGCAAGGCCCAGTGGAACCTATTATTCCAACACGGATGCACAGATGCCAGTCTCGCTTCAATCTGTAGCTACACCAAACTTCTTTCGGCTGTTTTTATTAGCCTCGAAATGCGTGATACCTCCAATAATCTGCAACAAGCAGTGCGTCGACGTTCTCAGACGTGTATTATGGTTGACGGTTACTCATTTCTGCATTAACTGTGAAATAATTCAAACAAAATATTTAATAAATTCAAACAAAATATCTGACTGTTTCTTATGTTAACGACTCTAACTATATTTTTCCTTGCAAATTTTTAATCAGCTTTGCCATTCCTTAAACTGTTGATTTCGAAACATCATGTGTAAATTCAAAATAAGCCTTACTTCTTTCCAGACGAACTAGATATTTCTGAGATTTACTCATGAAGAAGATCTACTGCAGAAATAGCAACTGTGCTCGAAATTAGCCCAACAAGCTGCAGCAGATTTATTAGATCGCGATCACAAGCATCTTATTTCATATATTTTTTCTTGCGAAATTTCTCAGAAAACTAATTGCTAAGAAGGCAAAAAAGTTAAAAGAATTTAACAAAGTCTCTAAGCCAAGAACAAGTATCTAAATTATAAATAATTAATTTTATCTTACTTAGAACCTCATTTTTAATAAACAGAGTTCTTTCTGAATCAAATATTTGCTGTCCCGATGCACACAGTAGTGAAAGTGAAAGAAATGTCCTTTTTCTATCGCTATTCGATTTTATGCATTTCGCAAACAGGCCTAAAAGTCTGTTTAACACAAGGTAATTAAAAACGCTTCTCATTTTCAATAAGCTTTCATGTTTGGATAAATTTAAAACGATTTCTTGGACAATTACAGTTGTAAAATTAAACATGATTAACTATCAGATTTCACCTTCTTCTTAACCTTATTTTGCTTCGACACCTTTTTTTCGTATATTTAGGCAAAAGCGCTAGATTACGCCTGCGCTTGGTAACAGCCTTGAGCACCTGATAGGTGACAGTGCGATTTGACTCAGTTACGCCGCAAATTTTGATGGAGAGCGCACCGGGGGAGGATCAAAAGGTCTCCCATCCCTCTCCCCTTCCACCAAGCCACACGAAAGGACTTTCGGCTCTGTCCATATTTAGAGTGCCGCCATGCCACACCGACAGTATACATTTACAAACATCGATGCCTTCTCCGGAATTCGAACCCAGGCCCTTCAGCACGGCGAATGCTAACCACTATACCGATTGCGCGGCTCATTATAAGTAAATAAAATTAATGGCAAAACATTCCATCATAAAGCAACTAAATAACTTGAGGAGAAACAAGCGTTCAATATTATTTAATTTCATATCTTAAAATGTTACAGACAATTATTAAAAATAACTCCTCGTCACAAAAAACTTTGCTGCCGAACTTCATGGTTTATTATTGGTATTACTTTGATTCTTACGCCCTCCGTTATTCAAAATGGTGCCAAAATTATCGCCGAGTTTAAACTATTCGCATCTAATATGTGACTGTCGTATCTCTGCGATTGCTTTTAATGTAGCATCAAAACGCTTATCTTTCCCAGAGCATTTCCATCGTATGAATTCCGAAAGATGCGGCTCTAGGTATGTCGAGCCGTACCCCTTTACTTTTTATTTCGCCGTTTAACAGAGCCACAATATACTGTCCATGTTTTGGGCGTGTGTACCCGTTGTTGGATCACCAAAATTAAAATTGTGATTCGCAGTCAAATGGCTGAAAGCAGTCTTTTCAAGCTCTTTAGGCTCGCCAGTACTTTGAATATATTGGGGATGCTTCCATTACATCGTCTACAGTCATTGATACCACTATTCTTGCTTCCCGATTTAGAATCTGAACAAAAAGCACTTGCAACTTTCTCTGCATTAATTTACCGAATATCCACTGCGTAGAAGTGCTGCCCACATTGTTTTTTTCAAGGCACGAACAAAATCTTCAACTGTGTTCGCCTCTTCGTCCTTTAGATTGTCGAAGTAATTCTAAGGAATGAACCTCTATCATAAAATTGTTCCACATGTTGAGCTTTTATCTCGCCATTTAAGCAACGTTAATTCCTCTAACCAACAGTAGATGAAAATCTGCGTTGGTATTAATGGTATTCTAAGTACCACTAAACCAGTTTGTTGGATCGAATGCTCTTTTTGTTTGTTTGTTTACAACTTTTTACGTTGCACCTTCACATACCTTAGTTTACATATAGTTCTAAGCAATGATCCCCAGCCCACCTACCAGGAGAAGACTTTTATTTCGCGTACATTTATACATATTCGATTGCCAGGTAATATAGTTTTTTTTTCCGGAAAGTAATACTGCATCTTCCTCACTTCTTGGTAAATTAAAAATTCTCAAAACTTTTTTACAACGTTTAAATTAAAAAAGACTACTACGATATTATGCTGTTCGTCAAATTCGGCAAACAGAAGTCTAAAGTGTAAGTGCCGTTTTTTACATAAATGTTTAAAATTGAAAAACGACAATTACGACATCACATGGTTCATTAGATTCGGCAAAAGTTAAACTGAAAAAAGACTATTATGAATTCATGCGGTTTATATATTTGGCAGTTTATCGCGGGGGCCGTGAAAATCAAGTAGTATTAATGTTTTTTTAAATAAACGATAATGCATGTGATTCATTTCAGGTTTTCATTAATTTATTAATTTTTGTTAAGTTTAAGCATTTTGCTTAAAGAATATCGCTTAAATTTTTCTATTTTTTGTGTCGCTTTACATTGTACTATCATCTCGTCAGCTATAAAAGGGAGATGTCAAATCTCCATTCGGAAGAATTCTTCCAGTCCTTGAAACATATGACCTGCAATTTGCATTAAAATTTCATCATTGTTTTGAAACGTAACAAATTAATTGACTTAAATCAATGTACGCACTTAATAAAACTTCATATCTTCTTATATGTGCACATTTTTTACTTATAATTTCTGAAATTCTTATAATAAACCAACAATTTTTACAAATGTCCTGTACCGTTGGTAGAATTTTAAAAGATGTTTTCATTCCTGGACTATCATATGTTATCTCCCTGGACTACGGAACATTTGTTAACACAGTAACCTTTTTTTTTTTTTTTTTTTTGTTCTTCTCCATTGCTACTGTTGCATTACGTTAATATTTCTTTCTTTCCCTATGACATATTTATAAAAAGTTAAATGTGTGTGTATAATCGTTGCATTTTTCATAAACTGTTACATTGGAGACACCTAACTTTAAAGCATGAAATAAAACTTATATACTGTAATAAATGTAAATAAATACGACATTTATAATAAAAATATAGCTTTATTACATTTTCATTGCAGTATTAAGTACAAGTTCTGTTTTCATCTTCTTTATTTATCAGCGCATGAAACCTCCGTATCCAAGACCTAAACCTCCTCCAAGCATGGGTCCCATGAATCCACCACCCATACCCATGCCACCATATCCTCCGCCCATCATGCCAATGCCTCTTCCACCCATCATGCCAAGGCCTCTTCCTCCCATCATGCCCATGCTGTAGCCTCTTCCTCCCATCATGCCCATGCCGATGCCTCTTCCGCTCATTAATCCAGCTCCTCCGCCCATCATTCCACTTCCACCGCCGATCATGCCAGCTCCTCCACCTAATGATCCAATTCCTCCACCCATCATTCCGGCTCCTCCTCCTATGCCTCCACCGTAGCCTCCCAATCCGAACATCTGAGCAGCACAGCTGGAAACGGAAACGAAGATGCAGAAAAGCTAAAAAAAAAGAATTCTCGTATAAATATATGCCTAGATTACATACTTTAATTTAAAATGCTAAAGACTGATTAATAAATTTAACAAAAGGCGGTGATATCATTTCATTTACATTTAAATCGAATTTGCAGTATTTCCACATAATACTTAATTAATAACTAAAATGTTAACTAAAAAATAAGCTAAAGAAACACAGGGCGAGCATAAATCGATCATCAGTTACGAAAAAGTATTTTATGAAGAAGAACAACTTAAATCCCTCATTTATTCGCGCAGTCTTATATGCACTTGATTTCAATGTCAATCAATACCTGAATGGGATTGCTTTTACGGTTTCAATGTTTTCAATAAATTCTTTCCATCCGTTGCAGAATATGTCCACGCCAGGACCCGAATAAGACAGTCAGCGGCCTCTTTAAGAGAGTTCTTTCCAGAGCTCTACAACACATACTTTTAATCTTTCTATGAGCAAACATTAACATTATGAGGGTTTATAGGATAATTTTGGTATCCTAGGCTCAGGCTTTACCAGTTACTACACTACAACTGTTGTCGCCTGACGCTGTCTGAAAGTGTCCGAATTCAAAGTGTTTGAACCGTTTCTCTCATTCTCAAGTTCTATTATTTCCGGGAAGCATCGTTATGCTACACTGCAATCTTTTACTCCATTCGAAGCTCTCAGAAGGTCGTATCACACATTCAAATCATTTCAGAAGAACAACTCTTTAGAAGAAATTTTCTGCTTTGTCACACTATATGAAATAGCCAATTACCATGCGTTGTTTTGGGGTTGCCATGTAAATGGGAAACTAGTTCTCCAACACAAATAATGGCTGATGACTGGAGATTCGATCCTGATACCTGATTGGTTGTTGAAAACAAATAATTTACGATTTTTTTGAGAAAGAAAAAAAAACATCGCGCGTTTTTATTTCAGTGGTAAAAATGAGAGAGAAAAATTGTCTAAAGCAGCTGTTCATCTGAAATAAATGGATGTGTGATTCGTGGGCTTGTTCAGCCTTAGGTTCACTGGAAAATGTTACAAGAGTAACAGAACATTTGTCGGAAGAACATCATGGCTTAGCCCCTTGAGAGCATAAAAAGTGACCCGTCTATGGTACATGGTGCCACAAGCATGAACGTAGCTATGACCCACCGGTTCGAAAATAAGGCCCCCAAAACAAATCTCTCATAATCCACCGGTGGGTCTCGCGACAGTTAAGGAGTTAAAATCAATCCTGATTAGTGTATCTTATGTCTGAATACAAGTTTAGTGTAAGGTGATAACGATAAATAGTTTCTTTTTTGCAAATAATCATATACATTTCTGCTTCCAAAAGTGAGTTTTTAAACTGAAAAGAACCTGCTATGAATCTTCATACCTTAGTATAAAGCCTTCTACGGATCAGATGGTATTAAAAATACTTACGTATTTTAAGGTGAAACTGCGGCAGTGATAATGCAATCTAATTGACAGCGATTTTCGTAATTGAAAACGACATTTATGAAATGATCAAGAAAACTTCATTGCTTTTGAATACGGGAACAAGAATGAACAAATGTAAGTCGTCATGCTTTTAAGATATTTGAAAAACAAGAGATATAAAACTAAGAGATAAGTGTAATAGATAAATAATCTACATAAAAAATAGTCATATGACCTGAAACGATAAAAATTTTAAATTATGTTTAAATGCTTTCACTATTTATTCAGCTTTTATCAACGTGTAACGCTCGTTTATCTAAAACGAAATTATTCAATCAAATTGCTAAGAGACCACATTCTAGGATATAATAAAACGCGACATATAAAGCAAGCATTTAAGGTTGGTAAAAAATTTAAAGAATATCTTCTTTTGTAGCCCTTCTTCTATAAACACGAACACCAGCTAACTCTAAAAGTATTTATTAACACAGCACAGAAACAGTTCCAAAGAAAATACACATCAAAACAGAACATACACCAAAGCGGAACACCTAACGTTTAGACTTAGTCGAGTCATCGGGACATAATATTAGAGAACTTATTGCAGCTGGAGGTCGGCTGATTGTACGTAAGTTGTTCTTGTTGCCACTACGTGACGTTCGATAAAATAGATCAGTTACATCCATCTGTTACCATTTCATATTTGACATTTTTATTAATCTGAAAATTTAGAGAAAAGAAGAAGTATTTTCTTTCCTTACATATCATTTTTGCTATGCTTGCAGATAGCTAGCTATCTTTCCGGTTCTACTAGAGGTAAAATTATAACTTCTGCGCAGCATGGGAGCATTCTAAATATGCGGCAAGCCAAAAGTCCTCTCGAGAGGTTGATGGTAAGGGAAGAGAGGTGAGAGAATCTCGGACCCGCCCCCCCCCCGAGATGTTCTCTTTCAAAATTGGGGATGGAACTCAGAAATGTCGTACTGTCACCTGTAAGGTGCTCAAAGCTCTTGCCCATGACAGGCGCAATCTCGCACTCCGTTGGCTTGTTCTGATGTTAATGTCAGACAAATGAGATAAGTCAAAGCAACACAGCAGACCTGTATCTCAGTTTCGATCTCAGGCGTACTCGCTGACAGTTTCGTGGTGCTGTTTCAAATATATAATGTGAATACTAGCCAGTTTCCTACAGGAAGTGTTTTATGAAACATCCCCCCTTAGGTAGATAGCCCTAATGTGCTTTTCCATATTCAAATAACCTAATCTAAGCTATTCCTTTGACTCTAATGACATGCAGTAGGAATCAATACTCTTTCCCTCCTAATTTGTATAACAATGACAAGCTGACCACTTGTCCAGGCAAGATGCACAAGAACCCCGGAGCCCACGGTCTATAAAGCGCAAATATCAGCGCACTGCCGGCAATGTCTCTCTAAGGCCTGTTTGAGCCGCCCAGCTCAGTTTAGTTTAGTTTTGCGTAACAATACAAAGCTGAATGAACACCTATTTTTACTTCCTTATACGAAGTACAGGAAGTATTATAATTGCAAAAAATTTTGAGTAACATATTTTAACAGAACATTTTAATCGCTCCTGAATCCATTTGGATAATTTTTTTGTGTGACATCTATACGTACGGACAGAATAAAGACACTTTTTTTCCAAAACGGATTGTAAAATGGATTTAAAATGAATTCAATGGGGATTTTTTCCTGATGTCTGCACGTATGTACTTATATATGTTCATATTTATGCATCTCCAATAACTCAAAAATGATTAACCGTTAATTTCAAAAATTTTGTAATTTTTTAGGTCATTTTCAGTCTGCCTTAAGAGATCGGTTAATTAAGTCAGAATAAATCGAAGAAACAAGTTTGGATGAGTTGCAGCAAAACATGTGTGTAATTTAATAGGTCGTACAAGGAAGTCATGTGGTGCTCACATCATATTTTTTTATCGGATTTGCAATCTAATCAAATAACGAAAACATTTCTTCGAAAGATGAGGATCTTAAAACACTAAGCTTGCTTCTAAACATATCAAAATAGTAAAATTTGATTTAAAATAGGGCATAATGAAACTATATAGATATAAAGTATAAAATACTAAGCAATTCTAAAAGAGTATTAGATGTCTATCTTTAAATTCGAACTTTCATGTTACAGCTGCTTGTGATGCTAATCAGATTGCGTTTGGAATTACGTACTAAGAAATTCAAGTGGTGTCATTATCTCATATTTTGTCGAAAACACGTAGAATAAATAGACTTAAAATGAATGAGTTTGCAAATGTTTTAAATAAACGAATTTACAAACTCTGCAATTGAAAGGAGGAAGGGAAATAAATGAATTTGCTAAACAGAAAAATAATAATATAACGCAGTGGTTTTTTTTAATGTTAAAATAATATTGTGAGTAATATATGTCATCAGAAAGTGAATTTAAGATATTTGACAAATAGCAGATATAAATCTAAGAGATAAATGTAATTGAAAAATAAACTATATAAAAATGCTTATATGATCTGAAATGATAGAAGATTTTAAATTATGTGTAAATACTTTCACTATTTGTTCCCCTTTCATTTGCGTGTAACATGCTGTTTATTTTTTGTTCTGTTCTCTCTAAACACGGAAGTCAAACCCCAAAAAAAACTTTGTGCAATGATTCCTCGCAAGCAAAGGGACTCTTGCTGTTGTTAATCTTTAAATATGTAATTTAAAGAAAACTGAGCTAGAAATGCAATCTTTGCTTTTGTTTAGTTTCAAACAAAACTTATTTTTGACATTCCAAGAAATTATATTATTTTTCAAAGCATTCAATTTCCTTTTTTGATTTTATGATATCGAAACATAACGCGTTTAATATACAATTTGGGTAAAGCTGTTTATGTTAAAGCTCTTATTTTTGCTTTTAACAGAAAAATTTCAAATACAAATAAAAAGGTTTTATTAATTATAGTTTTCAACTTGCAAGCACACACATACTATATGCTATCCAGTCCTCCGTGAAAACCGTACCATTTTCTGACAAAATAACTCTAAATATCACTTTTAAGTATAAAGATGCAATAAAAAATTGAATGTTTTAATTTTAGTTACTTTTTAGCTTTTCTTATGCGGCGAGAAAATTTCCTTCTTCGGTGTTGCATTAATTTCTGTCTCAATTCTTAAAGAATATTGAAGCAGAAATCTAAGTAGAACACTTTGAGTATTTTGTGTTTTTCATGAGCAGTTTGTGTCCTGTCGGTTTAAATTTTCAATTGCTGAGAATAATTTTCAACTGTTAACTAATGATTGATGTTAAAAACGTTTAACTTTTAATCTTTTAGTTTAGACTTCTTTTTATGTTTTAAATCATCGTAATATTAAGCTACACATTTAAGACACTTAGTGTCCAACAGCCTGACAAAAGGCGAGGTCTCATAGATCTGCCAGTTGACCTTCTATAACAACCTTCATTTGTCTCTCAAATTAAAATAGCTCACTGCTTATTAGCTGAGTGATTTAAAAGCAACGAACGTGTTTATTAATACTTTATATCTTTATTTCATTCTTTAATAAAAGTCTCTATCTGGTGTAATTTTTAGCCCACATAATTCTTATGATTACTGATTACTGATAATTTTCATAAAACTTTTCACTGTTCTTTTTTCAATGAAGAGTTTTTAATGCCGTATATTATGCCCTCAGTAGATAACAAAGCTTTCAATATCAATTACTTTTTAAACAGTTAAGGATTTATAGCGCTAGTTTGAACACCAATCACTTGAATTGATACCAATTTCAGTAATACCAATCCCTCATGGAGATTAAAAATCACATCTGAAATTTTAAGGTTTAGTAAAGCAATACGAAGTTCCACAAAATTAAATCATACAGTTTTACAGAGCGTGTTCGCACAGTTTTAGAAGATTTTTACTGTATTTACAGACATAAAAATTTTCTTTGTGACGACATTTTCCCATTTTTCTCGAGATAAATGTTTCTCATAAAGGATTCTGCGTCCTGCGATGTGTCGGGGAGAAAAACGACGCACATAATGTGTTTTCACTTTTCTAAGATTCAAATCAGCAATAACCACTTTAGTTACAGTTGATACTAAGCATTTTAAAGATTTTGAAACTGTCCTCTGACTTGGCGGATTTTCGTTTTACGTTAAATATCTTACCCTTGCAACATTCGAAATATTCCGTTTTTTTCCCCTTGGATACGCATTTGGATCAATTTTTCCACTTGAAGCCAAACTTTGACTTTTCTTCCTTTCTTTGGGGGTTCATGATATTACCTATCGTAGCTTTAGATACCGAAAATGGTTTCACAACGTTTTTTAATAACTAAACACGAATAATATTTTTCGGAAAACATAGCCAAATATAGCCTTCCATCCATAAGCGCCATTTTGCATGAAAACAAAACTGCCAAGTAGCAGACGATTATTTATATCTCAAAAATATAGTTGCAGTGAAAAAAGAATTTCTAAGGAGACGCTATATTTTATAGCAAAGCAAAATCGTTCAAAATTTGTGCTTACATAAAATTTGAAACAGTAAAGAGATACAAAGATATATGTTTAGGAATAATCAATGTAAAAATCTAATATACTTACCACTGCTTGCAGGGAAACCATTTTGTTGACGAAGTGCTCAAATTTATCAGAATAATCTGTGTTTCAAATCCGTGTAGATCGTTGACTGTTGTGCCTATCAACTCCATGATGGGAATATTTATACTGTAACTGAGTAGGTGACTATTAACTGGTCCAGAAGGCGCTCGATTGTTTTAGGAATAGAGAAGTAGTAGCGCATAAAGTCACACCTTCGATTTAATTCAGAAAATAGTTTCTGGAGCGAAACAGTGTGGTCTTTGCTTTCTTGCATTAAAATGCTTTCAATTGTTTCTGTGTGTGAAAACTGAAATCGTTCTTTTACATTTTACCTGCGGAAGTTGAGCAGTTTACCTCATTTACTTCATTACAATGCGTCGTTGCAAAACTCTCTATTTATCGTTTATACTAAAAGAATATTTTGTCTGTAAAAACGGAGGTTAATTACTAGTAGAATAATAGAATATGCAAATGTTTTAGATCACTGAATTTTATTTTCTTCTTTTAAAAGATTTTCTAAATGAATGTTTGTGTAATATTTGTTTATTTTTTTAATAATATATGACGAAATGTTTAGTTTTAATTAAATTGCTTTCATATGTAGAATGTGGTTTATTATAGAATTTAAAAGCATGATTTTAGGCGCGCGAGCATTTTTGAACTCATTTCTTTTGCATGCCAAGACAGCATGAATTTAAGTGCTTCAGATACCGATATTTCATGCTATGTTTGTAAGTGCTATGTTTACGGTATATTTCTGCGAGTACTGTGTTACCCATTTGGTACAGTGCTACGAAAAACATGGGCAAGTATATTTGTTTCTGCATTCATATATTTTCAGAGATCAATTTACATAATTATTTTTTTCTTTGAAAGAAAATGCCTTCGAGTAGTGAAAAATTATTAACATTTATTTTCATAAACTGAAAATTTACTTCTGTTTATGATTTCTGGTTTCGAAAAATTAATTTAGAGAAAATTCTTACCTTTATCAAGTCAAACAGATGTTTTTGGAAAATACATATATATGTATTCCTATAAATTTTAGGAAAATGGCGAATAAACAAAAAGTTATTTATGTTAATACAAAGAAATAACTAAAAATATTTTGTAAATTATCATAGAATAATTTAATGGAAGATTACAAAATGTTATTTAATCATCACCAAACTACTTTACAACGAATGCGATGCAGCATATTTAGAGTAAATTCTATTAATAATTTTCTATTGATTCTTTGCTGATTTTGATCTAATGTTTCATTAGACTTATTTTCACTTCATAGTTTGTTTATGAGTGTATTTTGCTAAGATCAATAACTCAAGTTTCATATAAAATTTTGAGAATAACTTCATGCAAAGAATTAACTTCAGAAAGTTTCCATAGATGGCGTTAGCTGCATTATATTTCAATTATAAAATACCAGCGTGAGTAGTATTTTGAAACTGGCATTTAATAGATATAAATTTAGTAAGACAGACTGCGATTATTAGAAATTTAATAATTGAAATTTTCAATCAGTCGAACTGAAATATTTAATTGAGGGAACTGATTCAATAGTAACTTTTCCCGTAAGCCGAATTTCTGTAATTTGAAATATTCGATAAATTGAGCTGGAATAATGTTGAAATTAGCTTTCTTTAGCAACTGTAGATTATATACCGGAAAATTCTCTATAGAAACCTTAAATATGATATAAATTGCATTCTCATGCTTTTCTTTTAATTTGTTATAAGCAACTGTATTCATGCTTACTAAACAGTTAAAATCATACTTTACAGAACGCCTTTAGTTTAGAATTGCAGTTTATATTTTAATTTGCATTTCTAAAATGAATTATGTAACTGAGCTATATCATAATTTATATTTTTATCCTACATTTTAGAACATTCAAGGTACTTTCTTTGAGAAATAGAAAAATGTGGTCCTTAAAATATTTATTATGTTATTGCTTGTATTCATGTTTTTCCTGTGACATTTCGGCTAGAAAAAGAAAGGTGTTGGTGTTTTTAATTATGGCAAAGCACACTAAGGTTATTTGCCTTAAGGGAGGGATGCCTTCGTGGAGGACTTTCTAAGGGTGGTGTGGTGTATTCAATTATGGCAAAGCACACTAGGGCTATCTGCCTAAGGGGAGGGATGCCTTTCGTGGAGGACTTTCTAAGGGAAACTGGCTCGTATACACGTTACACATGGGGAAAACCACGAAAACGCCCATGCAGCCAGCCCGTTCGCGGGATTCGAACCTCGGACCGAACTACCAGCGTTCAGCGACTTTACCGCTCGCCCGCTGGTGAGCTGGAAAAAAAGAAAGGAAATATTGCTAGTGCAAGAGAAATATTTTTCAATGTAGTAACAAATTTCACTATATCTTTCATTATCAGTCTAATTTTCGGTAAGAACGATATGAATTTTAAAATTAGACGCATACTATCTTAAGTTGGTGTAGACTTTTGAATAAAACTCTGTTGATTTCGAGAATGATCAGACACAAGTCCTCCTTCTTCATAAGAAAATTATTCTAGAATTTTGTTCATGAAGTTTAGACATATCTGCTTGTGATTTGTCCAAAATCTAAGCCAGTTTTTTGGAACTTACGTATTAACGCCGGAACCTTATATAGTTTGGCGATTTTTTGCAAATTAAAAGGTAAAAGTTGCTTATCGGGTACAAATTGGTGGTTTTACCGCTTTTTTTTTTTTTTAGAAAGATTTTCAAACTATTATCGATATTTATCCCTAAGCCGATAAATATTATCAACATATGTAAAGAAAACATACTTTAGCAGTTTAAATCCAAATTTTAATTATTAAATAAGGATTACTTGATACATAAAAAAATTTTAAAACTTATTCACACATTCTCTTCAAATTTTCCTATATATATATATATATTTTTTTTCTCTGTTCTTCTTTCGAAGTACACAGCGATCTGTTTTCGTTTAAAAATTCATGAGAGAATTGCGGAGATTCAGCTTCATGCAACCCTTGGCAATAACGGCTATCTAGGAAACGAATTTCCTCGTCGTTCCCTTTAAAAAAGTTTCAGCAGAATTCTGTATACCTGCAGAAATGTTACCTCCGTTTCTTCCATTGGTGGTAAATTCCTAAGCTCGAATTTTAAAACTAAGTTTAATGCAAAATTTATTTTTTATTTTAATTTAATACTTTTAGATAAAATTTTCATTTATTCTTTTTTCATATGTTGGAAATGCTTCTGTTTTGCATGTTTTTTGGACTCAGTGCATTTAAATTGCAAATTATTAATATTAAATTTTTAAGCCTTTTTTGCTTATGATTTTGATGATTTAATTTTTTTTTAAAATTTTTAACTGGGTCTGTATGGCTTCAAAAGTTACATGTGTTTTTACATGTGTTACATGTGTTCATGTATTGGTTATATTTGAATGTTTGGTTTTTGTACTCGGTCTTCTCAAAGTAATATTTATATGTCTTTTTAAATTTGTTTATGTTTTTGATGCTACAATTTTGCAGTTTTGTACTCTGCTTACTTCGGTATGTAGGGATTGGGCTGATAATGCTACAAATAATTTTGTTTGTTTCCCTGAGATTATTTAAAATTTTAAACTTTAATTTGTGTCTTTGTTAGTTCAGAAACAGACTTATTTTTTTACTTCTTCCATTGCACCAACCCCTTGATGGCGATGCAACGACAGACGGTAATTCCTTTCTTCACTTTTGTTTCGCATGTTTTGCCCCTTCCCCCCCCCTTTTTTTTTTTTTTTTTTTGTAGTTTGCCACTATGCTACTGATTTTTTGTTTTTGCATATGGTTTATTCCAAAATTAATATGGAATAAATTTTTAAACATCTTATTTATTTTAATTTATTTTATACACCAAACTGAATTGTTTCTGTGCTTAGTAGAGCTTTAAATTTTAAGAGAGCAATTTACAAATTATAGAAAACAAGAGAATGTAATTTTAATTGAAAACCACTTAGATTCTATAAAAGGTTTATAATTTATTGAAAAATCAAAATTTCACTTATTAATTAAATCTCAATCAAATTTCACCGTGCTCTTAATTTTCTACTTAAGCTTCTGAAAGATAAAAATTTCCTGCAGCAATAAGTTAAACAGTGGTTAAATTCGTATTTTCTTTTATAAAACAATTAACAGCTTTAAAAATAAAATTTTATATATACAATACTGTACTGTTCTTGTGCTTTTTTAATGATTAAAAGATAAAATAACAATCTGCAATGTATTTCCATGGATTTAAGAAAGTAAGACTAATATGCAATAAATAAATAAAATGTTTATTTAATGTATACAATCACGGTATATTACAGTTATCTTCTCTAATTTTTCTCTTTTCTGAATTCACATTCTCAGAAGATGATCTGCATCTACATTCGACTCTGAAAAATTTGGAAATTTTACTCGTATGTAGTAACAGGCACTTAAAGTCTCATTTTAGTAACAGGCACTTCACTCTCATAACATAAAAGCATTTTCGTTTAATTTAAGTTAATTTAATATATCGTTTTGCATATCAAGATCTAAGTTTAAACATTCAAGATAATTTTTTAAATACCTTTTTATTTACACTAATTCCAATCGTCTAGATTTCCTTCTACACAAATGATGATTTAAAATACTGATATCTTCAGTTAGAGAAAGCTTTGTTAATTGATATTATAACTTACAAAATATTATCTTATAATGAAACACTATTGTTTATTTAATACCAATTAAAAAGCTTCACTTTTCATTGTACATTTAGAACATATTTCATGGTAGACCTACCAACACTGAACATGAATCTATTTCCGGTATCCGTAACTATGTCCATATCCTCCGTATGCATTAACATCATGTTCTTTACCATAATCTCCTAGAATGTATGAAGCAGCTCTTTCCTGACTGTATATACTATTTCCACTTTTACTGTAACCAGTATTAAGAACAAAAGCTTCTTTTTCATATTCATCATCGAGGCCATGGCCGCCCCCGGGTCTTTTAACATGTTCAGCACCACTGTTATAACCGTCACTGTATTTATTTCCACGTCCTTTGCCATATACAGTGTTAAAATTTTCATAGCGTCCTCCAAAGGTTTTGCCTTTTATGCCACCAAGGCCATATCCACCAGAAAGACTTTTTTCGTATATGTTACTAACACCAGATATACCGCTAATATCTTCATATTGGCCTCTATATCCATTTCCACTACCAAGGCGATAGGCATTTTCCAGTCCTTTTTCACTTTCGCTAGCAGTGTCATATCTACCTCTCAGACCTTTTTCATACCCGTTAGTTAATCCATATTCACTTCTTAATACCTTTTCATATCCATTGCTATGTACATATCTGTTAGCTAAACCTCTTTGGTACCCTCCAGAATTATATGCATTACCTAGAATTCCAACAGTATGACCGATACCATAACCAGGCGCGTACTGACCAACGAGTCTTTGGACATTACCTCCATATCCATTGAGTTCTTTACAATGTCCAACTCCGAATCCGTTATATCGATTCCCACTTCCACTGACTTCTTTTGCATAACCGTTATATCCTTTAAAATCATATCCACTACGGCTTATATATCCATCGCTAGGACCTCCGTATCCTTCGGGTCCAGTAAGACCTCCAGCTCTTACTGCAGTCGCGGCGTACAAGAAAAGTGTTACCTGTGGAAAAAAATGGACAAATTAAAACTGGCAAAAAACGTAGCAGTAATTTTTATTGATTTTTTCCCCTTACAATACCCGTTTAAAATTTAGTTTAATTCTCATTGAGTTTAAAATACATCTTACTTAGTAACTGATGTAAGTATTTCGTAAATACAAGGAAGTGTAACAGATAAAAAAACACTTTAGTTCAGATTATTTGTAGAGACTATTAGGTTATTTCGAAGCAGGAAATGAGCAATGCCCTCGCCGGGACTTGAACCACAGACCTCTCGAATACACGCCGAGTGTGCTGACCATGACATCCCGAAGACATGCTAAGAAGGCGGGAGAAAAATCTTATATATTTAGTCTGAAAATTTCAGTTGAATTCATAAAAATTAAGTTAAAAAGCTACCTATTAAGTAACCTATCAAGCTAAAAAAAATGGTAATTAAGAAAACGACATTAATTCATGCAAAAATAAAATTATTCTTAACGAAATATTCTGATTTTTTTTTCTGCAGTACTTTAAATATTTTCTGCTTCTATGTAAGAGAAAAAGAAACTGAAGCCCTGGCCGTCTTGCATCTGTCGCCATATGAAATATTCTTTTTTTTGGGGGGGGGAAAGGGAAAGAAAAGAAGATTCTAGATTTTAAAGCACAGTGGGAAATTTCTACATGTCGAATAAGTAAAATACCTTTTTTAAGATTCTCTCTGGCCTGTACCGACCTCCATTGACTGATTATTTATTTTACCTTTAACCGGCTATTTTATGTTAAGTGTCTTTACTGTCATTCCCCTTTTTTGTTTTCCTGCCAGAATGATAATTTTATGAATGATAATTTTATGTACTGAAATGAGGAAGAAAGAGATAGTATTTAAATTAAGATTTTAGACTGCTTAGTCATAGCGTGCTCTGCCTGCTGAAGGCCTCGTTACCAATTAAAATTCTATGATAGCAGCCTGTCTTCGGCATTATTCTATTCACGCCGGTTTAGGTTTGAGCAAACTTGTGCATTATTCATTTCTGTGTATCCTTTGACTAACTTAAGATTAAACTTAGTTTTAATTTAAATTCAGTACTTTTGAGTTACGCCATAAAGCATAAGAAACGCCTTCTGTTAAATTACTGAATTCTTAAAAAAGAGTGTTTTACCCCTTTCTTACGTTCTCTGTTTTCTAATTGGATGTATTCGCTTAGCTCAATCAAGAGTCTCGAGTTAGTGTATGCTTTTCAAGAAGGTGAGACTCTGTAAATTAATTGCAGGATTCTTATTCTTGAGGCAAAATGCAATATTCTATCGTTAAAACTTTTATTTTACGCTTTACAGTGACTTTCTCTACTTCGCAGTTCTGCGTTTTCCATTGATAGGCAGATAATAGATTGCAGAAATAAATTATTTGCGGTTTTGCAGCTGAAGATGATGGTTCGGTAAAACCATCGAAACTAGTCCTGTGAAAATTTTGTGAATATAACGCTGATTTTTGTTGTTTGACTTCTGAATTAGAAATTATTTGGTCTTCGAAAATATAAACACTACAAGAATCTATGTATGATCTTGAATACTCAGTTATGGTTAAATGTTATTTCAGTTGTCATAAAATTTATATCCTTCTTTCAAATATTTCCTCTTTCATTGTGGTTCTTTAACATTTCTGTAGAATCTGATACTTGATGATGTTATAGACGTTATTTTCTGACATATTTTCATTAACAGGTAGATCGTTAATATTTCTATGAGACTGCACGTATTGCTTTCAGAATATTCCTCTGTGGCACATACAGGTTAATGAAAATAATTATTTCTGTAGAATATTGCATTAGATTTTGAATATTAAGTTACAGTCTTTTTCTTCTGGTTCCAGGCCGCTCAAATTCCTAGTATATACATATTTGAGGTAGAACTTATTTTCTGATCAACTCTCTGCTATAATAAACAAGACTCCATTTTTATCTTCTGCAGCTTTTGAAATTCTCAGGAATTTCTAATGGTTCCAAGGTTAGAACTGTTTATTTCTACTGTTTGCATTTACAAATTATAAATTATTTCTACTGTTTCGATTTATAAATCCTCATTTTTATAAATTCTAAATTTTAAAACTTTAATTAAAAAAATAATTTTTAGATCTAACGCGTTGCGGATTGATATTCATAAACTCTTGATAATCTCCAGAAAAATGGTTGACGTCCACTAAGTTCTTAATCTATGCATCCTTTACAAAATGGCATCAGGAAAATGAATTTCATTAAATTTCATCGAAATATTATACCGAAGACTGAAAAACTTCAGCAAAAGTTTATAGTCTTCTAACTGAAATATTTATTCCTAAGATTTTAAAAAGAACATTAAACACCAGAGATTTTTCTTTGATTAAAAGTTTTTTTTTAAACTTTCTTGTACTTGCTTGTATAACTGCTTGTGTATATTTCACCTTATGAATTTTAATTTACATTCTGCACATGTTTTGAGAGCCTAAAATTCATTAACTACTTTTAATGGTCAACTTCAGCAGAAAACATTCATTTACGCATCTTTATAGACAATATTATATGAAAGTTAGAACATATTTCCATTGCTTTCATTCACTTAAAAAATAGTGAGTTTATTGTACACTCTGCATTAAAAAAAGGCGTGGTAATTCTTTATCTTCAGTTCTACTGTGCCGAATGACGACATTTAACTTCAGCATTTCATATCATGAAAATATGACTTAGGATACGTATAAGATTTTTATATCCCATTATTCTAATATGGGCATTTAACATAAAATCGGGATTTTTCCTACATGGAATACAGATATTTTTTCTAGATTTCGATTCTATGACTTAAATTATGCCTAGGTGCCAAGTTTTATAAAAATCGCGCTATTAAGTTTCAAAAAATTTAGCTTTCAAAATTTTAGCTCCTCAATGTTAATTGAAATTGCTATATATATTGTTATCGATTTTGTATTTAATTTGCTATTTCTAGTACAATTGTAATTAAAATTGTTTTAGTTCCCCTTGCAATGCAGCGCGCAACGAGTTTTAAGAGAGAGCTAGTACACTGAAAATGCGAAAATACAGGAGCTCGCCCATTTAACATTTAATAAATAGACATCTCGTAATCGTACTCTTTTAATTCCAGAAACCTCGATAAAATATCAGAATGTTCTCATGATTGATTAAAAGGCTTATAAAAGCCGATGAAAAACATCTCAGTTCAGTTAGTTAGATAACTGTTGTTGTTCACTGTAGCGAATTCGTGGTGAGATCAAATTAGCTTTCTGTGCACTTTGAAATGAGTTCTATTTAATGTTTAAAATATAACTACTGTGTGATATTCTGATATTGTACGAATATCTGTGAGGAAAAGTTTCAGCATTTTGTTTTATTTCTTGCGATAAGAATAAATTTTTATTGACTTTTTATCGGACTTGTGCATTCAGTCTATTAAGAACCCGTACGGCACGCAACAATATATTAATATCCCTTTTTATATTAAGCTTAATTGATTTCTTCTGTCCGAATTCCAAGCTTAAGTTCGATACAAATAAATTTCGCAGATTTTTTTTTATTTTTTATTTTTATTAAAGTGTGTATTTTTTAGTAATTTGCATAAATTTTTCGAAAACATTTTGAAATATAGCCTATAAAGTTTCTGCCTTCACCTTAAAGTGGATGTATTTCTATTCATACCTGCGAAACATTACAGTTTTTTACTGAAAATTTCAAAGGCTATACGTGAATTTATAAATTGGAATTAATATTTATATTATAATAAATTGAATATATGAATGTGTATATATGTGGTTATTAATATATGTGAATTTATGTTTATTTCATTTTATATTTATATATTGGAATTCGGCATATTTTTATAAGCGGTAATAATGTCAAATGTTGTTTACGCACTTTGTTAAACTGTTTGAAAGACTGAACGATGCACTTTTTCCCCGCCCGAGCACAATATCAGGGTAAGAAAAGAAGTTGCTATAAATTACTCGTAAATTTCTCGTTAAGTTTCCCACCAAATTTTACAAAATTTAACATTTAGGTATAATTTGAGTCCAAGAATGGAAAAATTGGTAAGGTCATTTCAGAAAAAGTCCGATTTCGGACCAAAATACCAATGTTAGAACAATGCTGTATATAAATCTAATATATAATCCTAAGACGGGCTTTTGAGACATGAAAAACGCAAATTAAATTTCGTCAATGAGTAGTATGAGAGATATAGAATTGTCCTTTTTTATGTGTGTGTGCATAATGTACATGTCAAAATAAAAAAATATATGTTAATTAATCAGAATAAATTTTGATAACCAAAAACATTCAACTGTCAATAAAAGTTGTTATTCTGCAGTTAATTGTATTAAAATGGAATAAATACAAATATACCTTATGAAAAAACAGTAATCTTTCTTGTCATCAGCAAGGAACTACTACACATGAAAGCAATGTTTCGGAGAACATTGTTAATTCAAGTAACATTTAGCATTATCTATCTCAGGGAGGTTACACGAAATTACATGCATAAAATTAGGTGGTTACAAGTGGCTGGAATTAGTGTCATTTACAAAACTGAAATATTTTAGAAGATTTTAATGAACAAAGCCGGTTTCAGTAAAATTTAAATCGTTAACTCTGTTACGAGGTTTATGACTCTGCAAAACTAATGCAAAAACTCTGATATTCAGTTATTTTGTTTCTGTTTTCCGTTAATGTACAGAACAATATCGCCGTTTTAAAATTATAAAAAAAGAATTATGTTTTTATGTGATTAATTAAACTAACCAATTAGTACGGTTTCGGTTTTTACTTTATTTTTCCGTATTATTCATCAGATTGCAAATTGTTTTGTAGTGTATTTAAGCTGAGGTTTTGGAATTTTGACAGAGAGAGCTTCTGGCATTTTCTCTGTGTAGTTAGATTTTTGCCAGGTCTAGCTAAATGCAATTATCTCTGTTTTGCATGCTCTAGCAGCCGATATTTCAAACACGCAAAAGAAAAATATGTGGTACGCAAAGAAGCAAAATATTTTTAACTATTATTTCAAATTATTTTGCAAGAATTATCTTAATTTTATTAACAGTTAAATTTGGAGTTAAACTTCTTTCCTGTCAAATTCTTAACTTCAACTTACCACTTCCGGCCAGAAGCTTAGTTTTAGATTCACATCTGAATACACAATGAGGAGGAGTGATATTTAAACAGCGAAGTTCTTCGGTCTTAGCGAGAGAGTTACCAGGTATTCTGTCTGCACGCGTTTGCCTTTTTAGGCTTCTCTCTCGTAAGCTATAATTGCGCTCGGCCGTACTTGGGCCCTTGATAGCTTCGCAATCAATTAGCGTTAAGGGGCCAACTCGGTTAGAATCTTGATAGCTTCGGCTATATTTCTTTTAGTTTAGATTAGTTGTAGTTTACTTCTTAGCCTCTTAAGTTCAAGCCCAAGTGTCGGATTTTCTTGTACACTCTAAGACGGAGTTCTGTTAAACCTTATTTGAATCATAAAGAGTTATTTACCCTTCCATCTTGTTGTTTCTTGTCGCACGAACTCAAGCGATTATTCGCTTATCGGTTCTAAAGGTTCTTCACGATGAAGAGTAACGTAGTATTTAGAAAGTGGGGAACTCTACAATTTTAAATTAAAAAATTAAAACCCCAACATTCTGATAGAGTTTTTTCTCTAACACTCGTAAATTTATGCGATCTGAGCTTTTCTTAAGAGTGGTGTTGGTAATAGTTACTTTGTAGTGGTGGTACTAAAGGTTTTCAATTTTTGTTTAGATGTACGCGTTAGTGAAAAGGTTGAGAACCTCTGCCCTAGACTATTCTTCAACGCTTAAATGGATTTAACTGTGCATTGCTACTATATTTAACGTGCATTGCTACTATATTTAACGTGCATTTCTATAATTATTGGTTGTCTGTTGCACGTGCCGAATCTTGTTTTGTTAAATGTTCAGTTTAATGAAAGATTGTTTAAAACCTTTGTAAGTCTTGTCATGCTATTTTATCTGTTCTCTTCTCGTCAGAAACTTATCTCTTATGGAAAATTTTCTTTACGGTAGCATAACAGATCAGGCCCTAATGGGACGTTTCCAACAACTGTTAAGAGTAGAGAAAACTATTACATGCTGCAGGCTAGTATACCGACCAGGTATCAAAGTGTTATCCTATTTTAGACGTAGCGATAATTTGCTACCTGTCTAGTAAAGTAGCAGGACTAAAATTTCGGAACCAGAATAGTCCCTGAATAACCTTATAAAGTAACCGCATAATTTTATCAAAACCAAATGTTTTTAATTTACATAATAACTAACTCTTAAATATAATTCGTTTAAAAATGAATAAGTACTTAGAGTGCCTTTAATTTATACATAAAAATTCGGTTTACAATAACTTACATATTGTACTTTTCCGAACTTTTTAATTAACAACATAATGAATTTTATTTATAATTATAGAAACCTTTCACCAAATGTTAAACGTTACATAAAGTTTCTACATATAATGCATAAAAATTTAGTTCGCATTCGCTTAGATATATGATTTTTTTTAATTATGGCACATCCTTCAAACATACACAAATGTTACACAAGATTTCTTATCTTTTATTCACGATAAAAATTAATTATTTCCTTTAGCTTACATACAAAACCATTTTTGAAATTCAGCATAATTATTAAAGGAACTTCACAAAATGTAAACCATTTACACACTCTAAATGCTGAACAAATTGAATTATGTAAAAAAAATATTAACTTACCACCAGGAATTTCATTTTCTTCAAAACTGAAAAGAATTACGTTTCATTTACACACGTTCATCTCACGATTGTCACGAATATAATACAGATAAACGTTCTACGCTTATATAACGAAATTTTAGAGAAAAATTAGGTTGATTGAAACTCAATTAAAGAATGCTCTACCCACGCTCAGAATCCTGCTTGTCTTAGCTGGATGTTTTCAAAGGTAAACTGACAAAAGCACCATTGTCGTGTCACATGTAACCAAATTTTCTGACTTAAAATGTAATATTAAAATAAATTAAAAAATATCCAATCTTTTTGGGAATGGAATGCTGACAACTAGATATTCCGGTCTCCTCATATTACTAGGATCTAAACTGATTAAAAGAAACACGATAGAAAAAGTAAAATAGGTTTGATTTATGTAATAAGAGCAGCTTTAATTAAGTGTAGAGATTAAGCAGTTTGAAGTTATGTACACCTTGCACAAGAACATAAAAAAAAATGGAACAGTTCTCCGATTGGAAGGCAGGACTTTATTACATTTATATATAGAATTGTTCTAATATAGGTATTCAAAATAGGGCCTTTTTCTGAAATGAAATACCTATTTTTCCATATTTTGATTCGACGACTCAAATTATTCAAAATGCCACATTTTAATAAAATCTCACTTTAAAAAATTAGCTCTCAAAATTTAAGCTTCTCGATGCTAAATGAATTTGGTGTGCATTTATTAATATATCTTTTTTCATTATTATTAAACTTAATTGATTCCTCCTTTCACAGTTAGAAATTTAGGTTCACTCCAAATAAAATAAGCAGATATTTTCTGATTTATTTTTTAAATCTGTATTTTATAGTTATTTTTAAAAATTTTTTTGAAAAACTTTTTGAATTAAAGCTTATAAAATTTTCACCATTATTTTCAAGTAAATGCATTTCTAGGCATACCTATAAAAGATAGTTTTTTTACTCAAAATTTACCCAAACCTCATCGCTCAGCGTGCGGACACACACAAATTACCGATTTCTGACGTTCGTCTTTTTTTCTTTTTTTCTTTGTAAATTTTATTATTTATTTGTAGCACTGGCAGTAACATGTCGAACAAATTTCATACATTTCCGACAATTTCTTCGTGATGTTGCATTTTTCACAAGCATTAGTATAGCTAAAGCAAATTAAAACTTGGCCGTAAGGCACAAATAGGTATACGTGAATTGATATATTGTCATATTTTGAAATTTGGCATATTTGTTGTAAGCGATAATAATGCCAAATGTGGTTTAAGCACTTTGTTAAAATTATTCGAAAGAATGAAAGATGCACCTACTGCAAAACGAAAGGGAAAGTAAAATATTTTGCCACAAATTAAGAATTTTTGGTGCAAATTGAAAAGGGTGCGAAGGTAAAGTTTTTAACTTTCTTAGTAATTTTCTCACTAAATTCTATAAAATTTAATGTTTAGGCACGATTTGATTGTAGAATCCAAATATGAAAAGAAAAGTTATGCCTTTTTTTAAAAAAAGTCCGATTTTGTGTCTAAATACCTACGTTAGGGCAATGCTGTATATAAATCTAATATATATCCTAAGTTGTGCTTTCGAGACATGAAAAACGCAAATTAAATTTTGTCAATCCGCCCAGTAGAACGGGAGGTGTAGAACTGTCCCTTCTTTTTCTTTGTGCACAGTGTACAGTTAATCATGAACAGTTCTTACCATGTGATTTACAGTTCTAGTATACTGTGAATTCCAGTAACACAGTGCGTGGCGTGCCGTGTAGCAACAAATTCTTTTCTCCGATCAATCTCACTATAATCTGGAGTACAGTGATGAAAGAATATGCGTCAGACGTTACAGAAAGGAACGTCTGCTCCCACAGTGTGTTATCTTGTATCATACTGGTATCATGGTGTGGAGAACAACTGGGTATAATTGTCAATCCCATCTAGTGCAGCTTGTGGGCAACCTCAACAGTGATCGCTACGTAAGGAAAGTTGTGGAGCCAAAGGTCCTTCCTATTCTTCGACGCATTCCGGGTGCTGTATTTCAATAGGATAATGTCCGTGCACATGTTTCTCAGACTTCACAAGTCTTCTTTACGGCACAACAGGTTTCGCTTCTTCCATGACTTGCTTATTCCCAGGTTATGTCGCAGATTGAGCATGTCTGAAATTTCGTCGTTCGGCGACTCGCTCATATACCTGGTGAGGGCACACACTAAGACTGAACTTTGGGGTCAGGTAGGAGCCATATGGAATGCCATTCCCCAGGATTACATTCAGAACCTGTATGATTTAATACCACGAGGTGTACAGTCGCTCATCGCTTAGCGTGGCAGACACACAAAGTACTGCTTTCCGACATTTGGTTCTTTTTTTCTTCTTCGTAAATTTTATCACTTATTTGTACCACTGTCGGTAACAAGTGAAACAAATTTCATTCATTTTCGACAATTCCTTCATGGTGTTGCATTGTTCACGAACATTAGTATAGCGAAAGTAAGCTAAGACTTGGCCGTAAGCACATATATGCGTGAGTGATTTGACATACTTTTTGAGTACTTATACAGAGCTTATACATCGAAAATTGTATTTCAAATATTTTATCCGCTTTCGAAAGTCTCTGTATAAATGCAGCATTTTTGGCCATTGGCGTTTAGCTTATCGTCATTTGATGGGTCCTTTGCTTTCATATCATCAAAGTAAAAATGCAATTCCAAACACGATGTGTTTTTATGTTATTTTACTTGATATTGGAAATGTTTTATCATGCACAATTTAGTTATTTAACTTTTCTGTACTTATGTAAATAACACCGTAACCAAAACGTTCTTAACCAGCCTCTATTTTCATTAATCGTTGTTCGTAGATATGTGCTTCAAATTATAAAAATGTTTCAAATGACGTAAAATTCCATGGTTTCGTCAATTTTAATTATACAATATAATTTTATTCTTTCTGCCGATCTCTGGGCCCACCAGTGGCCGAGCGGTAAAGTCGCTGAACACTGGTAGTTCGGGCCGAGGTTCGAATCCCGCGAACGGGCTGGCTGCATGGGCGTTTTCGGTTTTCCCCATGTGTAACGTGTATACGAGCCAGTTTTCCTTAGAAAGTCCTCCACAAAAGGCATCCCTCACTTTAGGCAGGTAGCCCTCGAGGCTTTGCCATAATCACACACACATCTGCCGATCTCTGTACTTACGTTTAGTAAATATTTTCTCATATTATCTCTACATATTATAAAAGAAAGAGTCTGTCTGTCTGTATGTGTCTTTCGTTCGTGCTGAGCGTAAGCTAGTAGACCCAGGGATACGAAATTATTTGGTACGTATGTGCATCTAGACTCAGTGCACCTTGAAGAAATTTAAGGCTCAAAAAACATAAATGTTTTCTGATGAAATCGCATCGTGCCATTGTTGCTGATATCAGCACTGTTACAAATCGGAAAAATGGCGACTATAATTCTGTGGAGTTTTTTAATTTAATGTTTCTCTTGGATAGTGAACATTTGTTGAGAAAAGGCAATGGAAATTTGCTTAATTTATTTATCAAGATAATTAATATTTGTATTAAGGGATATTGCTTATTTCATTATAATTTTCGTTTGTAATCTGTAATGCATTTTTATTAATTTATTTTTGATAAAGTTATTCTGCAGAGTAAAATTCTGTACAGTTTTTAAATTAAACGTTTGATGTTCCCTTTATATAAAGGCATTTTTCTATTTTCATTTCTTTAAAAAGGCATCTTTCTATATTTTATAAGGCATTTTCTGGTACATTTAAAAGCCAGACAGTAAAAAATAAAACACAAAACATTTAATTCCTGCACGTCAAAAATTGACCGACGTATTTGGTGTTAAACCTACATCAGCTACCAAAGTGCAAATGAGCCTAAAACTATCTACAGGGTTTGCCCAGGAAATAAGACTGACTTTTTCCCACTAAAACGTGAGGAAAGAGGGGGAAGATACTACGCTGGTTGGGTTGTGGGGAAACTTAGCTTACCAGCGCATCAGTCGCTAGTCGTCTCCAAGCCTTCACTGAATGTAGATCGAGTTTAAGGTGAACCCCTTTGAAAGTGTCTTGTCATTTCCACAGTGAATCGTTTGTTAGAGCAGCGTTATGCGGTGAAGTTTTGCGTCAAACTGGGTAAAACTGGGAGTGAGACCCATGACGTGATAAAGACTGCTTATGGGAGTAACACCTTGGGTCGATCAAGTGGTTTTGAGTGGCACAAATTGTTTTTGGGGAGGAGAGCAAGTTGAAAAATGAAACTGATGTTGATCATCTTTTTTGATTGCAAAGGAGTGCTTCATCAGAGAGTTTCAGAGAGTTTGTACAACTTGGTCGGACTGTGAACGTCCGATAGAGCCATTCTACGTGGAAGTACTTGACTCAGAAAACGAGTCGCTTTTGTGTCCCATGATCAGTAATCGGTGGATCATGGGGGCTCTATCACGACAACGCGCCGAGCCACATCGCATTTACTGTCATGGACTACTCTGACTAAACATGACATTACACAGCTGCCCCAGCCCCCTGCCCAATCTGCTTTATTTCAAAAAGTGTTGCCACTGCTCGCTTTCAAATCATAGAACTTGTTAATAAAAAATTTGTAAGTTTTACAAAATATGAAGCAAAAATAGCATTGCCAAATATTTAATATATTATGTCGGATTCCAAAATTTGGAAATCCACTTCGACAGAGCCGATATATTAATTAGAAACTCTGAAAACACTTATTTTCGCGCTCATTTTTTCCGATGGCAAAGGCGTCGCGCGTTGGAGATACAAATGTTTTATTTCGAAAAGTGTTATAACTGCTCGCTTTCAAATCATAGAGTCTGTTAATCAAAAATTTGTTAGTTTTAAAAAATATGAAATAAAATAGCTTTGCTAAAAATTAAACATATTGTTATTATATAAGGTCATATTCTGACATTGAAGAAAGCAATGCGATTTCGTATGACGTCATTGTGTATCGAAAATGTTTCGTTAATGTCAGCATTTTAAATAAAGAGCTGCTGCTGGCAACTTTTTTTGTTTCAGGTTAGC